GAAGGAAGGAAGGAAAGAAAGAAAAGGAAGGGAAACACTAGGATGATACCCGCTAAACTGGTAACAATGTTTAACTGGTTGATCTGAGGGAAAGATAAAAGTAGGAGAAGCGTTTTCACATAAAATTTCTACAAAACTGTTTTAGAATGAGATTTTTGTATTGTATTGATGTGACACTAACATGACTAAAAAGAAAGAACTGATCTTAGGGACATACACACGACCCTCCTCCCCACCCTACCCATCAACCCACCAGGAGAAAAATCACTGTTTTAAACTGAAGGCTGGCCAGGAGTGGTAGCTCACACCTATAATCCCAACACTTAGAGAGGGAGGCCAAAGTAGGAGGATTGCATCAGCTCAGGAGTTCAAGACTAGCCTGGGCAACACAGGGAGACCCCTGTGTCTACCAAAAAATTAAAAATTAGTCGGGCATGGTAGCACACGCCTGTGGTTCCAGCTATTCAGGAAGCTGAGGTAGAAAGATCACTTGATCCTGGGAGGTCAAGGCTACAGTAAGCCGCGATCATGCCACCGCACTCCAGCCTGGGCAACAGAGCAAGACCCTGTCTCAAATAATAACAATAATAAACTGAAGATGACAGTTTCCCACATACTGCTATCCCTTAACTTCACATAGAAGCACAATTGCAAAATTAGAAACATGTCAATGTCTCCAAACAGCTGTTCAATGTCCAGTCTGTTTCTGTCTAGAACCATCCTAAGGGGAGCATGGGCTCCGGTTGGTCCTGAAAGCATTTTCCATCATCTGACCCCTCAACAGCCTCTTCCCAGGCCCAGCAGGCTGCATCTTCCTTGCCCACCCCCTTTTTTTCTCCCCTTTCATTAAGACGCCATTTGGCAAAGTCTCTGTAAATCCCCGTCAGTTCATTTCCCATTAACAGTTACCACAGAACTTCTCTACTTTATTCCCAGATAAATAATTGAAAATAAACACCCAGTTTGGAGAGGAACTTGATGCATCTGAAGTTAACAAAGCCACAATGGCTTCGAACCTGACAGGCTCTTCTGAGTAATGCCCTTTCCGTGAGCAATATTTTGCTTTGCCTCCGACAGGGGGACAAATAAATCTGAAAGGCCGAAGGAACAGAAACGGAGTTAAAGAACACAGTCATGTGTTAACGATTCCCTTCCCACCAACCCAAGAGTGTGAAACCCTTCATGTCCCAAACACATAACCAGGGTTGGTGGCTCTGATGCTCCCAGGCACTGGGGCCTGTGCTTGAATGGTCACAGGCAAGGGTCAAATCAGGGCACTGCCGCAGAATCCCTCAAGCCACATCGCTGCCCTTTCCAGACTTCTCCATCTCCTTATTTCTCCAGGTAAAATAACACAGACACTGACCCACTTCCTTTCACCCCAACAAACTCCAAGCAGACATGTCCCCGGGGGACAGAAAGGAGACCCTGAGGTTTTCTGCAGACAGGCCCCCTACATCCTGGGGCCTGTCGCAAAGGGTGAGAGCCCCTTGGTCGGAATCCCAGCCAAAGCCTTTTGCTCTGCCTTCATTCTGCTCCTGGGGCCATCTGCTGAATGGTGGGGCTCCATCATCAGGGGAACGAATCGGGAACTGAAATGATCTGGGGCCGAATTTACCCACAAAACTTCCCACAGCCTCAAAAGCCACTGGTTCATAGATCCCAAAGAGAGCAAACATCCTGAACACAAATTCTAACCCCGCTCCTCCCGTTAGACTCCAAACCCTGTGGGTGCTCAGTCGATGTTGGCCAAACGCAAGGACTCAAGATCAAAACCCATTAACTCCGACTCCACAGAGCATCTTCGATAGATCCAAGCTGCTGCCCTTTTCAGGTTTGGGGAGCAAATTAATAGTGAAACCAAAGGAAACCTTTGGCCAGCCTCAGAGTGAAGGTCAACAGACTGTTTCCAAGCACAACTCTTTCGACAACATTTGTATTCACGGACTGTAGCAATCATAAGTAATTCTCATCCATGTATGAGACCTTCTAAGACAAATTCCCCCTCTCACATCGACAGCAAGAATTCATTTCTTTTTAAATCTCCTAGAACAGATGTTTACTGTCAGGCTGATCTTTCTGCCAAGTAGTGAGGTTCTGGGCATTTGCGGTGATGATGTCCCTTTCTGAGCTCTTGCAACCCCTCCCCAGACATTCAACAGCTGCTCCCAAACCATTCCTGATTCTATCTAGGGCTTCTCTGGGATCTCCTCCATATTCAAAGCATATATTAGAACAAATATGAACCAAAAGATTCAAAAACAAAATACTGCTGCAGCCGGGCACGGTGGCTCATGCCTGTAATCCCAGCACTTTGGGAGGCTGAGGCGGGAGGATCACTTGAGGTCAGGAGTTCAAGACCAGCCTGGCCAACATGGTGAAACCCCATCTCGACTAAAAATACAAAAATTAGCCGGGTGTGGTGGCAGGCCCCTGTAATCCCAGCTACTCGGGATTACAACCTGGGAGGTGGAGGTTGCAGTGAGCCGAGATGGTGTCACTGAACTCTGGCCGGGTCACAGAACAAGACTCTGTCTCAAAAAAAAAAAAAAAAAAAAAAGATTGAGTGGCCGTGTCTGTCTCTGTCCCCTGGACAGTTGGCTTCCTTACTGCCGACTATGTCTGTGTGGTAGTGGCTTCCAGCGGCCCTCAATGCCGGCTGCCATATTCTGATCTCAAGGCCACCCTGGTTTTGTGTGAACTTGTTGTTGGAGTATATTCTGCTTGCCCTGGCAAGTGACCAGTGGCTTTAACCCCTGAGCAGCAGGCAAAGATCTGGCTCAGCAGCTCTGCACGGCCCCTGCTGGATCCCATTCTGCTCTCCTCTCATGCACCCAACTGGGCTTCCAAGACAGCCTCTTGGAAAGGACTCTGCAATCCTGGTGGGTCTTGCTATGTTACTGGGGAGCGGGGGTGGTGGGGTGGTATCAGAAGTATTTGGTCAGCTGTCTGAATGTAGGGGTTTTCTCTGGGCAGTGTAAACAGTCATTGGCTAATTTGTACTATGCAGCAGTATTTTTTTGTTTTTTGAGACGGAGTCTCACTCTGTCATCCAGGCTGGAGTACAATGGTGTGATCTTGGCTCACTGCAACCTCCGCCTCCTGGGTTCAAGTGATTCTCGTGCCTCAGCCTCCCGAGTGGCTGGGATTACAGGCGTGCACCACCACACCCGGCTAATTTTTGTATTTTTAGTAGAGATGGGGTTTCACCATGTTGCCCAGGCTGGTCTCAAACTCCTGACCTCAGGTGATCTGCCCACCTCAGACTCCCAAAGTGTTGGGATTACAGGTGTGAGCCACCGCATCCAGCCATGCCACTCAATCTTTTAACGACAAAAAAATGACACATGGTCTTTAAGACAGTGGTCCCCAACCTTTTTGGCACCAAGGACTGGTTTTGTGGAAGACAGTTTTTCCACGGACTGGGGTCGGGGTGGGGGGTTTGGGATGAAACTGTTCCACCTCAGATCATCAGCCATTCGTTAGATTCTCTTAAGGAACACACAGCTGGATCCCTCACACGCGCAGCTCGCGGCAGGGTTTGCGCTCCGTCGAGAATCGAACGCCACCGCTGATCTGACAGGAGGCGGAGCTCAGAAGATAAAGGTCACTTGGCAGCTGGCTGCTCGCCTGCTATGCAGCCCAGTTCCTAACCAGCCATAGACCAGTACTGGTCCTCGGTCTGGGGGCTGGGGACCTCTGCTTTAAGACAGTATCACAGCCGTCCAACATCACATTCAGCTGTCTGATCCAAAGAACAGTTCTTCTATAACACAAGGAATCCATTTGTCATTAGCCTAGGATCCAGAGGCATAGCTCCTACGAATTGTTATAGTTACAGAATCACCCATCGTTCCTTCTCTTTCTCCACTTGGGAACTTAAGGAGAAAAGAAAACGGGAAGGCAGGGAAGAGAACTTCAACCTTCCTACCTCCCGGGGTACATGACCGCTGACTCCAGTGAGTCTAACTTAATCCTGTCTCACCGTGATCCAGCAGGAGAAATGGACTTTGACCCATTTCTCTCCATAGAGTTCTCCCTGCACCATTTCCCTTTCTAGGGAAGCAGAGAATTCAGGCACCAGTTTGGGGGTGCTTCTGCCATCTCTAGAACTTGTCGGGCCCAGTGTCTGGTAAGGCTGTCTCATGCTGTTATGATCTTGGACCCTTTTCCTTTACTGACAGCGGTGCACGCAGATGACAGGGCTTTAGCCAATGGCTTGCGGTTCCCATTGCCTGAGCTGGCCCCAGCTCTCTCAGCTCGGCAATCACAGCCACGCGCCAGGCTGTGGTTCACACGGTGCTTCTCCATGAGCAAATACATGCTCGTTCCCAAACCCAACTGTCCAGCCCTATGCCAGTAAAAAAGCCTGAAATCTCTGGCTTATCCCCAATTCCAGTGCATTTTTACATGTTTTAAATTTTACTATGCAGTCCCTTGGGGGAGTTATTCTCAAATTAAAGGATGGAAAACTAGAGCTCAGGATATACAATCAGCAAACGGCAGGTGGGAGCTCCAGCCCAGACCCCTGCTGCACAGACCCCCGCCTCACCCTCCTGTCAGTCCTCATGATGTGATCCATTGTCGAAGGCCTAATGCTACAGGTTGAGAGGTGGGGGTGGGGTATCATCTCCCTGATGATGTCATACTCAAAATAAGAGCCAGCACCATAGTGATGGTTCTAGGTCCTACCCTGCACCCAGTTCTAGGTCCTCTCATACATACAGTGCCACTCAGCACATCAGCTGTACTCTATAGTTTTAATGAAATGTGACATTCAAAATCTGAACTTACTAAAATGTAAATAAGGGGGTAATTACCAAGACGTTATTTTAAGAAAGAAATCACCAGTCAGTTCCTCTAATGCCTTGCTCTCTGTTTAAATACCGGTGGCTACTTAACGGAGACATTAACGGAATGTCAGGTTTGATCAGAAATAAATCCATTGCACAGAGCTGGCTGTATCCTGATACGACAGCTAAAAGTAGCGTGGTACTCACCAGGTAAGGCATCAGGAGGTCCGCCAAGTAGACAAAAGCTGCTCCAAGGGTGAAGCCAACAGCCACAGGGAAGAAGGCAAAGGCACCGAAGCCCCCAGAGGATGTGGCCATCTCAACTGCTGGGGCCAGGAGAGACCAATAGGAAGCTGCCAACATGACCTACAGAAACCACAACAAGAGAGATAAACATTAAAGCAACTGCAGAAGGCCTTCCAGGCAGGACCTCAGTTGCTCTCTGTGGCCCAGACTGACCCCTACAATTTCACATGAGTTAGGTCTTTCATCCCAGGTTGGAAGGTACTATCATAAACCAAAAAGTCATCCCCAGAATTCCCGGAGCTTACTATGGCAAGAACTCAATTTGGGGTAGGATAGAGTTGACCTTGGGAGGATGCAGTCCAGTTCGCCATCATCTAGCCTATAATTCAGTGGTTCTCAACCAGCAATGGTTTTGCCCTCCACAGGACATCTGGCGATGACTAGAGACATTTTTAGCTGGGAGGAAGATAGGGGCAGGTAAACATTCTACAATGCACAGCATACCCCTAACAACAAAGAATTACCTGGCCCCGAATGTCAGTGATAATGCTGTTGAAAATTCCTATTCCTTTTTTTTTTTTTTTTTCCCTGTGGTGAAGCCTTACTCTGTCTCCCAGGCTGGAGTGCAGTGGCATGATCTTGGCTCACTACAACCTCCGCCTCCCGGGTTCAAGTGATTTTCCTGCCTCAGCCTTCCGAGTAGCTGGGATTATAGGTGTATGCCACCACGCCCAGCTAATTTTTCAGTATTTTTTTAGAGATGGGGTTTTGCCATGTTGGCCAGGCTGGTCTCAAACTCTTGATCTCGGGTGACCCACCCACCTCGGCCTCCCAAAGTGCTGAGATTAAAGGTGTGAGCCACCACGCCCAGCCCCAAAAATCCTATTTTAATTAAATTCTTCCAAGACAAATTGCTCACTACTTCATGAGTTCCACTGCATTGTAACATAGGTCTGATTATTACAAAGTTCCTTCTTATGTTGAGCTGAAATCTGTCTCCTTTCCACTTTTACCTTTCAGCTGTGGTTTTGCTCCCTAGAACACCAAAAACTGTGTCCTTCCTGTGTGACCCGTGACAGCCTCTGAAATATCTGAAGATAACCAGCAAGTCAACGTCATATTGGTCTCATCAATTATCTTATCTCTAAAAAGGAAGAAGGGAACTAATATTTATTGATCACTTGGTATTTCCAAGGGCCAAGATTTACATTTGATAACTTACCTTGTCATCACAACCACCCCGGAGGCAGATGATGTTTCCTATTGCAATTTGTAGATAAAGACATTGGATCTTGGAATAGTAAGGTAATTTGCTCAAGGTCCTACAGGTCAGTGGTCCCCAATCCTTTGGGCACCAGGGGCCAGTTTCGTGGAAGACCATTTTTCCATGGACCAGGCAGTGGTTTGGGGATGAAACGGTTCCACCTCAGATCACTGGGCATTAGAGTCTCATAAGGAGCTCGTAACCTAGATCTGTGGCATGTACAGTTCACAACAGGGTTCATGTTATGAGAATCTAATGTCGCCACTGGTCTGACAGAAGGCGGAGTTCACGCGGTAATCCTCACTCACTCGTCTGCTGCTCACCTGCAGTTTGGCCTGGTTCCTAACAGGCCATGGATCAGCACTGGTCCATGGCCCAGAGGTTAGGGACCCCTACTATAGGCAGTAAGTAGCAGATCTGAGGAAATGACCAAGCAGGACCATAACCAACTCAATGAGAGGATAAACATGAAAGAGAAGAAAAAAAATTAGGCTGGTCTGAAATCTCAGCAAAGCCAATTTGATAAAAGGTTCTCCAGTGGACAAGCTGGTATGGTGATGCATGAATGTAGTCCTAGCTACTAGGGAGCCTTGAGCCCAGGAGTTCAAGGCCCAGCCTCGGCAACATCGCGAGACTCTTGTCCCTTAAAAATAAGAAGCTCTCCAGCACTGACCAAATTAAATACTCATCCATAGCTGTTTACTCTTATAGATGCTATGACATCTTTTGGCTAGAGTACACCCACTACCCATCGTAACTATACGGCAGTCATTGCCGACACAGAAAATGTTGAATGGGTTTCTAAAAATTACTTAATTATGCCTTGCCTTAAAAAATCAAATGCATCACCCATCTTCAAATTAGCATTCAGAGTGACAGAATCAGGTATTATAATAGCAACAATAAAGAACAAATGTATGCATAAATCCATAAATTCCCTTCTTCCAGCTGTCAATCACACACAGTCACTTGCTCGGGGCCAAATTCTCCCAGTAAAAGTCTAAGTGCCACCCATGGAAACCTGCAACAGCCTCCAAAACTCTAAGAATGAAAATGCCTCCACTAAACAGGATGGGCGCTGAGGCTGATCAGTTCAACCCCATGAGCCGGGCTGTCCATAAAGACCATCAAAGGAAACGTGAGGGCTCCTCCTCCCCGCTACCGCCTAATCCACCCCTTTTCCAGACTTTGTCTTCCTAGCTTTAGAATCCAACAACCCTCAGTAGCTGCCCTGCATGGTCAACTCCCCACCAAAGAGGACCTGCAACAAGGCACAGAGTTGGAAAGGTACCACTTCCTCTTCTTATTATTTTTTGAAAAGGAGTCTCTGTCACCCAGGCTGAAGCACAGTGGCACAATCTCAGCTCACGGCAACCTCCGCCTCCCAGGTTCAAACGATTCTCCTGCCTCAGCCTCCCAAGTAGCTGGGATTATAGGCGTGCGCCAGCACACCTGGCTAATTTTTGTATTTTTAGTAGAAACAGGGTTTTGCCATGTTGGCCAGGCTGGTCTCGAACTTCTGACCTCAAGTGATCTGCCTACCTTGGCCTCCCAAAGTGCTGGAATTAAAGGCGTGAGCCACTGCTCCTGGCCCAATTCTTTTTTTTAAACCTGACCTGTGCAGCAACTTCTCTGGTTCTCCCATACAGTCCCACCTTCGACAACTCTAAAACCATATGGCCCAGGTAAGCCCACTCTTCTCACCCTCTAAATCTTCCCCACACTCCATCCTGTGATGAGGAAACCTAATATTGCTGTCAGTATCACTCGAGAGAACTCCCCAACCTCTGCTCTCATCTCCTTTTCAGCCCCGGATCCAACCTCTTCTGTCCACATTCCCTTCCCTCCCTCTGCATCACTGAGTACCAACCTTTTTTCTGCCCTTATACACGAGAAACACACAATGCACAAGCTATTCAAGGAGCAGGAGCAGAAGAGAAGTGTCTCTCAAGGGAGGGTGTGCTGGAATTTGGGATGCTTGCAATGCAAAAGCATCCCAGCTGATTCAGGTGGGTCCCCTCCTTGAGAATCACTGTCCTTTCTCTTTCCAGTCAAATTCAGGATCCAGCTGGATTTCCTTCAATTCTTTTCCTCGCCAGCCTCCCTGCCTCACACACAAACTGGAAAACCACCAAAGAACAATTGGGAAATTGAATAGGGTTGCCTGTCTAAAATGAAAAAAGCACCCAAAGCAAAATTCTTTGTTGTTTGTTTTTTGTTTTTGTTTTTGTTTTGAGACAGAGTCTCGCTCTGTCACCCAGGCTGGAGTACAGTGGCGTGACCTGAAACCTCCATCTCCGCCTCCTGGGTACAAGAGATTCTCGTGCCTCAGCTTCCCAAGGAGCTGGGATTACAGGTGTGCACCATCACGCCCAGCTAATTTTTGTATTTTTAGTAGAGATAGGGTTTCACCATGTTGGCCAGGCTGGCCTTGAACTCCTGGCCTCAAGTGATGCCCACCTCAGCCTCCCAAAGTGCTAGGATTACGGGTGTGAGCCACCGCGCCCAGCTGAAAAGTTATTTAAAGGGCGAGTGTGGTAGAAAAGATGATTGTGTGTCCTAATGCCTAAACCTGTGAATATTTCACATTACAAGTAAAAAGGACTCTGTACATGGGATTAAATTAAGGACCTGGAGATGAGGAGAGGATCCTGGCTTCTTTGAGTAGGGCCAGTGTAACCACAGGATCCTTACGAAGGAGTGAGAAGGGTCAGAGTCACGAGGTCAGGAGTTTGAGACCAGCCTGACCAACATGGTGAAATCCTGTCTCTATTAAAAATACAAAAATTAGCCGGGCATTGTGGCAGGCACCTGTAATCCCAGCTACTCAGGAGGCTGAGGCAGGAGAATCACTTGAACCCAGGAGGCAGAGGTTGCAGTGAGCCAAGATCACACCATTGCACTCCAGCCTGGGTGATAGAGCGATACTCCATCGCAAAAAAAAACAAAAACAAAAACAAAAAACAAAAAGAAGGGTCAGAATCAGAGAGAAAATGTGATAACAAAAGCAGAGGCTGTAGTCAGAAAGAGATTGGAAGATGCCATGCTGCTGGCTTGAGGATGAAGAAAAGGCCATCTGCTAGGGAAGGGAGGTGGCCCCAAGATGCCGAGAAGGCAGGGAAGCAGCTTCTCCTCCAAATCCTCCAGGAGGATTTGCTGCCACCTTGACTCTGTCGCAGTTAAAATCACCGGGGACTTCAGACCTCCAGTGCTGTAAGATAATAAATTTGCACTGTTTTAAGCCACTGCATTCATGGTAGTTTGTTACATCAGCAATAGAAAATTAATACAGGCATATGTGACTTTTCTTCAACTTTATTTTTTAGAGCACTTTTAGACTGATAGCAAAATTGAGTGGAAAGTACCAAGAATCCTGACATATGCCTGCCCGTCCCCACTACACAAAACTATGCCCACTATCAACATCACATCACAGTGGTACATTTGATACAACAGATGAACCCACACTGATGCGGCACTAATACTCAAGGGCCATCTTTTTTTTGTTTTGTTTTTTGATTTTTGTTTTTGTTTGTTTGTTTTGAGACAGGGTCACCCAGGCTGGAGTGCAGTGGCGTAATCTCGGCTCACTGCACCCTCTGCCTCCCGGGTTCAAGTAATTCTCATGCCTCAGCCTCCCAAGTACCTGGGATTACAGGTGCCCGCATGACACCCAGCTCATTTTTGTCCTTTTAGTAGAGATGGGATTTCACCATATTGGTCAGGTTGGTCTTAAACTCCTGACCTCAAGTGACACACCTGCCTCGGTCTCACAAAGTGCTAGGATTACAGGCGTGAGCCACCATGCCCAGCTGGTCCGTAGTTTCCATTAGGGTCCACTCTTGGTGCTATGCAT